TGATTTTAATTAATAACATTTTTCATCTTATTTATGAAAGATAAATCTTTCATTAGAATCATAAATAACGTGATAAATCGGAATTATGAAATAATTATAAAAATTTAAGACTCTAGAAGGAAATGACACTCTTTTATGTTATTGAAACTGCTAAATCGGAAATATCATAAAGCCATTAAAAAGAAACAAAAACTTAATAAGAAATTAGGTGGGGTCTTGGGGTATCAACAAATCCATTAGGGTGCGTTTGGTTCACGGAATGTAAGATTATCAGTGGGAATAAAAGATTACCAGATAATAGGATTACTGGGAATATTGTATTTTGTGTTTGGTTGATTTAGCAAGAATGTAAGATTACCGTGTTTGGTTAAAGGAATAAAAGATTATTGGAATGTATATTTGACCAAATTGTCCTTATAATATATTTGTATAATATTACAAATTGTAAAAATATTTATATATTTTCTTTAAAAAATTAAATTCATAATATTTATATAATTTTTTTTACAAAATTAAAAATATAAAAAAGGTTTAATGAAAGGGTAAATTTTTTTAACCCCTAAACTTCATATAAAATTTTAATTATAGACTTCTTTTTTGTAAATCTAAAATAATTTAAGGATAAATTTGTAATTTAACATTCGTAAAATTTTTATTATTCAATGACATGAGAATGATATTTTTGAAAAATAATAAAAAATTAAGGGCATTTTAGTCCAAAATGTCGGTAATGTTACAATACCTAAGGGAAGGGAGGTAATGACATTCCCGGTAATATACCCCAAAAAATCTACTATTGGTAATAAAACATTACCGGGAATAAGATTCTCGGCCAACCAAACATGGGAATGTGGGATTCCCATCCCATAATAATCCCACAATCCTTGAACCAAACACACCCAAAATATATGAATAAATTGGGATGTAGCTAAGTGATGTGTAAAAGTAGTGTGCCAATGGGGCCTATTGGGTGGTGTATATGACAATGCTAGTGTGGTCACGATAAATAGAGAGGACAAGAAAGATGTCTTGGTTTTGGTGTGAAAGTTCTTTATTCTCTTGGAGCCAATGCAAATGCCCCACTCTTGGTGTTGTTGCTTCCCCGTTACCCTCCTTTTTCCTTGTGAGTGGCATTATAACAAGAAACAAACATTGTCCTTTCAAGACACACTCTCATACATTATTGCACCATCCACCACCTCCCCTACTAACATCTTCGCAAATAAATATACTTTTTATAAATAGTACGGAGTATTTACAAGATATTATATGTTCAGAATCTTTATTAATTATTCACAACGCATATATCATACACAATTAATTAAATCTGAGACTCCTAAGAATAACAATGTTCCCTTTTACCACCAAAGTCGCTTGATGAGTCCTTATAATAAATATACTCACTTTTACATGTGGAGTCCTTTTTTTCTAGAGATAAATTATTTTAACGTTGTTGTTTTTTCTGCAAAACTTAAATTCAAAATCTTACTTCAAGAAAAATCGAATTTTTTTACCACTTGATTTAACCTACACCTTGTTTTACACTTTATTCTAACCAATGCCATATAGTACCTTCAAATAGTTAGGTATCCCACCACAACTATCTTACCTCCTCTTTACATTTGGGTTTTTCTTATAAATTAAAGTTATTGCTATCAATCACCAACACACACTCTCTTTATATATATATATATGCGCGCACACACACAATAGGGTTATCAACCAATCAAATGGAAGGATCAAATTAGCTAGGGTTAGGTATAAATTCATGACAACTAACAAAAATGTGGATCACTAATCCTCCATTCCCTCCCATTGTTGGTTCATCAAAAACCCATGAATAATAAGATATTATACTATATTGTTCATTGCATTGCTATATTGATCTTGCCATTGTTGTGGTAGGCTTATAGGCTATATATCACCAACACTTATTCCAAACTTATACATCAAATTACCAATGCCTAGAACCCGTGAACTCTAGAAATAATAATAATTCCTTCAACCATTGAGACAAATCGATTTGTGCAACAACAAAGCTTTTTTTAAAAGGAATATGAAATAAGTACTATATATTATTTTGTTACGGGATGGGATGGGACAATGGGAATGGTTGAATTAGCATTAAAGAAAGTAAAGTTGGCATTGTCTTGAAGCCAAGAAAATGTGCCTCGTCTCACGCTGCTTCTTGGAAATGGTGATTCATTCACGTCCGACTTAGCCAGGTTTCCATCTCCTCAAGACCACCCACGCTTGAAATTGGCTTCGTTTTCTAATTTTAATGCGACCCGTTTGTATATATTGATAAACTACTTTATATATCATTGAATTTTTATATTTATGTTGATTTTATCCTTAAATTTTAAATTGATACATAATTAATTATACCATTGATCATTATCTCGAAAATCATATAATAACATAAAAAATATTTGTATAATGTGATGATGTCATCAAAACGATACCATTTTAATGTGATTATACTAATACCCTATTTGAACTGTTTCTTTATTCTCAATTTCAAAATTAAAATTAAAATTATTGAATGATATAAGCATAATTAAGGATGATTATTCATCAAGTTGGGTCAGGTTAAATTTTTTATTTATCTGATAAAAAATAGCATCCCTAAGCGTTACTGGCCCGAGAGGGAAAGGGAAAATACAAAGACCATCGCAATTGCCTTTATTTTCTTTATAGGAAGCCTTTCAGTGTCACCTCCTCCATTAATTAACCCTTTGTTGGTTTAACGGAAGATCACCAATTTCAGGCTAACTTTTTGTTTTCCCCTACCTTTTAATTTATGAATTTACACTACCTAAGTTATATACATACAGGGTTTCAAATAGCGAAGCGCAAATGTTATAGCGGCCACTATTTTGTGGTAGTATCGTCGTTCGATATTGTTATTGTCCAAAAATAGCAGTGTGAAGCAGAATCACACCGATAGCTATCAATTATAGCCGCAACTTAACGGGTCACGGTCGATCATCGTGATAGCGGACCGCTATTCCCATTATTTTCCGTTACACCAAGTCTGCTATTGAAACTCACACAAATTTTTTGGGTTTCAGAGGGAAGAGTAGAGTTTGGAAGAAAGAAAGAAAAAAAAGAGGAAAAGGACCACATTCACAGCCAACCACTTACCTACCGGCTGTTTCATTTTCCAACCTGATAATTCCATAAAAATGCCATATTTAGGGTCCTTTCACTTAAGTTATTGATGGTCTAAGAGCTCATATAGGATAATATAGATGCATTTAAGAGCATATAGTTGCATGTAGTGGAAATATATTTTGTCGCGACATTTTATTTTGTAAAATGTGATGCGTTATGAGGAATGTGTTTTGTTTGATGATGTGTAGGATTTGGGAGCAAGGATTAGCAAAAGGAAATTGTCGTGACATGGTGAGACTGCTGAGCAGAATACAAATGCCAAATCAGACAACATTTTGGAAGCGGATAAGATAAAAGATGATATTTTTATGAGTCAATTGTCCTTATCTTCACGTGCCCTCAACCGCCAATCCCTAGGAGGAGACATCTGCCACATGGGGCGTCTGATTTTGTCGGAACCATGCCCAGCTGCAAGCTACCCAGGAGAGGACCACACCCAGCTGCCTTGGAGGGGACCACTGCCACAGCTGCTCATACCCTCACATGAAAGGAGTCTGATCGGGGTATCCTAGGAATTTTAACACAAATTCCTAAGTTTATTGTCCCCCTATAAATAAGAGACGAAGCCACCAAAAGAGAAGACTTTACACACGCGTTTTGAGCTTAAATTCAAAGAGAAAATGTCTCTCCTTTTTCCGTCAATCATTTTTGTCGTGACATTCCTTCATTAACAAGCTAGAGGAGTGGAAAACAACGACAGAACCAGACCAAACCTGTTTTTTGGACAAGAAAGAGAGGAAAACATGGGAACACGATGTTCCAATTGATATTTTTCAACGAAAAAAAGAGAGAGCAAAGGAAGCTTTCAACAACACATCTACAAGAAAAGAAATGAAGCTTTTTGATAAAAATCACAAATGGAAATAAACATAGGAGTCCAATTTTCTTTGATTTTTCTTTGTATCTCGTCTCCCTTCTCTCACGCACGAGATAGAAGAAGAGGAGACTTCGGATTTAATAATTCTTATTTTATTTATGTTTTAGATTTTAATTTTTTTTACTTTTAATATTTTGGGTTTGGACTAAAATAAATCCCAAGAAATTAATAATATTTGGGTTAGAATGTTATGGGTTTTTTTGTTGTGTTTGTTTAGTCTTTTGAGTTTTAAATTTAATATGTTGTTTTTGGTAAGTGAATAATAATAGATAATTTTATGGGTTAATTTTTTTAAATGGTTATGATTTATTTTAAGAGATTGAATGTTGAATTTAAATTTTATGCAGTTAAATCATTTTTATTATTTATTAATTTATGCAATAAACTTACTTTTCTTCATTGTTAATAAATGTTTACTATATTTTGTGTTATATTATTTATAATAGCAGTAATGAATTGTTTTATATTTATAAATTCTATTTTTCATCTTATGTTTACTGTATAATATTTTTAAAAAATTTATAAATAAATATAAAATTAATTAATGATGGTAAAAATTATCTTCATGTATTAATAAAAGTTTTTAGAAGTTCATAAGTGTTAAAAAACACTCTAAAATATCATTAGAATTAAATTTTTATAATTATAATTATAATATATTATATTTTGTAATAAGTTGTGTTAATTAAAAAAATTCACATCTGCGATGCTCGTAGTGACTGTGATAACATCCATTAATTTACAACCGTAATAAACATAACGCGACTGACCGCAATTTGAATCATGTGTTACACCCACTTTCTTGCCATATACAGGAGGGTATTAAGGGAATTTAATAACATTTAAATTGTATTCGTCAATTACTTCTTCTAGCTATGGAAATGGATGTGTGAAGTTGATATCAAAGACAAACACGAGACGTGAGACTGGGGCTGAGACTCTTCCTCAATAACAAAAGCCAAAGTAAAGCGAACCAAAAGATAAAGACGAAAGACCTCTCTCTCTCTCTCTCTGATTCCTTTTCATTTCTTCATCTCTTCTTTTACCTATATATCAAAAGCGAAGAGAAACCCAATGAAGAAACAAGAAAATGAGGAAGAAGAAGGCTGATTTGGATTGTTGAGCTTATCGTTTCTTTCTTTCATCATCTTCTCTACCTCTTTCTCATCTTTCAGTTCACCATGGCCGTTCAAGCTCAATACGCTTCGAATGTCTTCCTTTTAAACACGTTTGTCTCTCTCTCTCTCTCTCTCTCTCTCTGCCTTTGCTTCCGTTTTCATCTTGATTTCCATCTATTTATGTATTGTTCTTGTTGGCATGTATTTTTTTTATGAAGTGGGCAAGATGAGTTTTCAATGCAGCAGCAAGGAGGAGTTTGTATTGATCAATCCCATATGTTCAACAATGGAAGCAATAACAGCCCAAGGAAAAGAGGAAGAGAAGTGGAAGCGGCGGCGATCAATTCGTTTTCTTTGCAAACGCAACTGCCTCAATTGATAGACATTTCTCAACTCCAAAGACCCAATGGAGTCTCCACGGGACTCCGCTTATCTTTTGGCGATCAACAGCAACATTTACAGCAAAATCAAAGTTATGAATACCAACATCAAAATCTTGTTCTAAACGCCTCTGCTTTTTGGTCTATAGTATCTGATGATTTGGGTACCCAGATCAAACGCCAGAGAGAAGAATTGGATCAATACCTTCAAGCTCAGGTAACCCAGGTTTTTCTTTCTTGAATTGGGTTTTGGTCAATTTTTTGTTTGAGGGAAAATTATAACTTAAAAAAAAAATTGGTGTTAAAGGGGGATGCATTGCGGCGTACGTTACTGGAGAAAAGGCATAGGCACTACCGAGCGCTACTGAGGGCAGCGGAGGAATCGGTGGTGAGGAGGTTGAGGGATAAAGAAGCGGAAGTGGAGAAAGCAAAGCGCCGGAACTCAGAGCTGGAGGCGCGCGTGGCGCAACTTAACGTGGAAGCGCAGGTTTGGCAGGCGAAAGCCAGGGCGCAGGAGGCGACGGCGGCTTCGTTACAAGAACAGCTCCAACAGGCTATTATGAGCAGAGGGGCTGCGGCGGTGCGGGGTAGCAGGAGAGCGGAGGAGTGCGGTGAGGGAGCAGAGGACGCCGAATCTGCTTACGTGGACCCGGAGCGGGTGGTGGTGGCTTCGGGACCGAGTTGCAAGGCGTGCCGGAAACGTTTGGCGGCGGTGGTGCTGCTGCCGTGTCGGCATCTTTGCTTGTGTACAGAGTGTGATCGAGTGGCGCAAGCCTGCCCGATTTGCCTCATCGTCAGGAATTCTAGCGTCGATGCTTTTCTTAATTGATTTTTTTATTTTAAAAAACAATTAAAATAACGAAAATCAAATATAAACTTTGATTATAAATAAAATTTATATATTCTGATTTCCGGATATTCACCCTTGAATATATGACCCGGAAATTTACAAGTAATAAAAGATAAATAAAATTTTATTTTATGATCTAAATATATATTTGATATTTTTAAAATAAAATTGATTTGAATTTGAATTTCATTTATTAATTTAATATTTTTATCATATCATTAAGTTTAATGATATATAAACATAAAATTATAAATAATAAAATTTATTTTTATGTGATAAAATAAATGTTAGATGTTTTGTTTTATCTCCACAGATATATTGTTTCATGTATTTTTCATACAGTAAAAAATATTACAAAATATTACAAAACAACTATAGAAAATAATTTAAATTCATTGGCAATAAAATTAGTTGTAAACCCACGTCACTCATTTTGTATAATTTCATTAAATTATATAAATTTTTACACAAAAAATAATTTGTATTATTTTTAATGACATGTCATTTTTTATTTATTAAATTAATACTTGCATTATCACATTTAAATAAATATTATATTTGAAATCTTAACTTGATAACATGGTTCAAAATTGAAGCACAGCCATGTGATGGATCCAATTGTGAGTCCAGGTGTTGCCGAGGTAGCTGCCTAGTCTTTGCATAACACACATCAACCACCACTATATATTGCCTTTAATTATTGCCTTTTTGGAGGCAAATCCCTTAAATGCATATGCATGTACTATTTCAGTTTTCTGTATACTTTTTTTTTTGCCAAATATATTAATTTTAAGCTTAATTACAAAATAAGTGTCTAAACTATATAAATTTCTTTGAATAGGTGTACAAACTTTTTTCGATTCATCTTGGTACCTAACGTTACAAACGTTACCACTTTAGGTGTCTGAGCCATAACAACCGTTAGATTCTACAATTAAGTGACACATGTCACATTCTGATAATTTTAAATTTTTATTCAAAATAAAAAACTAAAATTATATATTTAAAAAACTAAAATTTCAAAAAAACCTTTTAAAAAAAAGCCTCACAAGTTTGGAAACTCTAATTTTAAACACTAAACCCATACCGATTGCCGCTGTTTGACAACGATCGGACCTCTATCAAAATCTCCACCCTACAATAAGCCAAACCCAATGATAACACTACGTCTCCGATGAAGGAAACGAAAAAATCGCGACACCCAAAATCACATCTTGGGCGAACTCAATCCCCCAAATTCGCGACACACAAATGATCAAATGACGGGCGCGATGACAAGAGAGACAACAACCGATAAGGGTGGCGACGACGACTATAGCGACGACAATGATGTCATTTGCAATTGGCAAGAGAGGTTAGGGTTAGGATTTGGATTAGGGGTAGGAATTTAGGGTTTTTAGGGATTTATGGCTTTTTATAGTGTTAGGGAAAAGTAAGTTTTTATAAATATAATATTTTAAAAAAATAAAATAAAATATTCAAAATTAACAGAGTATGACACGTGTCACTTAAAAGAATTTTTTAATAGTCAAAAAAAAGTTTAGGCACTTATTTTCTAATTGAGCCTTAATTTTATATTTGTGACGTTAGGTACTAGAATGAATCAAAAAAAGTTTAGGCACTTATTTTCTACTTGAGCCTTAATTTTATATTTGTGAGTGCTATTACAACTGTAGCTTTTCTGAGGAGAGGAGTTTGAGTCAAAATTTGATTGATTTTACTTCTGGGTTAATTAGATTAATTATGCAGTTAAAAGAGGCAAATTACACACCTCTATGCATAATTGTAAATGTAGTCCCTCTCTTTTGTCATACTAATCATTAAGCAGTAGAATGAGTTTAGTGTCACTAATTGTTATATTTCCTTAGGTTTTCTGAATAAATTGTATCTTCATCATGAATCTTTCATCTATTTAGGTCTCTAGAGTTCATGAGAAATCTTTGAAGTTTTATGTATTTCGAAATGATAAAGTCCCTCGCTCTTATTATTGTCAATTCTATCACCGACTAAATTTACTATATGATAACTATGTCTACTCATCATGTCGACTTACAAAATAGTCATTATCACTCTAGACCTGGCACTAGCATTAAGAACGTATTTTAACTATCATACAAAGCAAAAGAGGAGAGATATCTGTCTCCCACTCTAGCTTATTATTCATTATCTTCTTCAACTTATTTATTTTCTCTTGTATGTTTACATAACCACCACCTGTTACTCTTCATTGAATTAAAAAACATGAATCGTCTAAAATCATGGTAACCACACTATTCACATCAACATTAATTAATCATACACTTACCCAAAGTCAAAGGGACCAGTAATTTGTAGGTCAAATGATGGTTTCCATGGCAGCGAGACTAAACAGGCAAGCATGTGAAACTGAAAGATGTCAAATGGGGCAAACGAAGGCATGGTCCATTTCCCCATGCCTTGTTATAAAGGGGGACATGGTCCTCATTGAGCAACCAGGACCCTGCAAAATGATAAAGACACGATAAATTCAAGCCTATGAAGCAGCTCATTTTTTGATGAAATATATGTAAAATCCATGAAAACCACAATCAATAATTGAATTTGAAGTGGCAGGCAGGCAATTGTGTCCCTTGTGCTGCCTCGTTTTGATCGCTACACATACGAAATGTCATGTTTCGATGGATGCATGCATCTCTTTGTCTATTTCGTTTTCATCGATAATATGATAGCGCATGACGCATTCATCCCTGCTGCATATATTTTGGTATTTTTACTTCAATTTTTTAGATGTGGGATACCTTGTTTTAGCGTTGATTGGCTAGCCCATAGCTGCCTTTGGGCCAAAAGCCAGACTCTTGAAATGAATTCGCTTTGCTGTATCGGGCATGGGTGAGCAGCCGTTCAGTTTGGGGGTTTTTTGGCCCAACTTCGAGGGAGTCAAATTTATTTGGCTCAATAGAACACTTCAGATTTTATTTTACAGGCAAATGTCACAGTGTATGGGACTTGTCACCTCTACGAAACTATTTTGTCTGATGTAATAATTTGTAATTAAATTTTTTATATTTTATTAGAACTCCTTATCTCGAGGTGACGAATTTCTCTAGTATTTATCGTAAATTGTAAAATAAAATCTTAAACGTCCTATTGGGCTAAATAATTTTTCCGCCTGGACTTATGGGCAAAAAAAAAACCTTCAGTTTGGTCAGTTTTGGGCTAAAACACATAAGTATTATATTTATGATATAGGATTGTAATATTTATGGTTTAAATTTTAAAATTTAGAATTAAATAAATAAAGTTATGTGAACTCAATTTTAACAATGTACCAAATAAGTGTACTTATAATATATTTAAAATCCGGATTTTGTGCAACCAGTCGTGCTTACAAACTGTGGCCTCGGCCTTCAGGTCCACAGTTGATCCATTTCCATTCTCTATTCTAATTATTTTACCGTTATACCATATGATTGACTTTTCATTTGGTAATTCTGTTTGTTTCTAAGGAATTGTTTTATAGAAAAATAGTCGAATTAAGAACATATTTTATTTTATTTTTGTGAAAGATTTTAAATACAAATCAATAATTTATTAATTTGAGGTTTCATTTTTCGTGATGAATTTTTGTAATTCGCAAATATATATCAAATGTATGAGATTTTATTGTGCTTACCGACTTCCGTTTGAATAAATTTTTATTTTCAAATGTAAATATTAAAAAAAATGACATGTTCGGATTGGATATTTGATCTGAAAATTCAAATACTCAAAAATCTAGGTATCTATTTTTTTTAGATTAAATTTATATCGTTATTCTGGATACCTGAAATTTCGGATATCCGAATTTACAGATCGGATCGGATATACAATAATTGCTCGCCCCTATCCCACTCCATGCAAATCAACTAAATGAAGGGGTTGTTCACAGGACGGAATCAGTGTTTATACTTGGTCGGGATCTCTAATAGTCATTCAAAGGGTTAAAATTAATTGTATGGTCAATTTTGTCAATTCAAATGACATAATTAATTTACTGAAAAGTAACTCAATTATATGGCATTACGAGTACGAAAGTTTGATAGTCAAAGTGAATGCAATGAATGATGTGAGGCCGCAGTCCACTTTACTAGAAGCCTTTCGGATTTTAAAATACGGGGACGAGATTGTCAATTCCATACAAATAAAAGTTGTGTCATTAGAATCAAAATGGCCCACTTTTATCGCACTTATGGTAAAAACAAATGTTAATTTCTTAAAAAAAAATTGAATTCAAATAATTATTTCTACTGACTGTATATTAGTTTAAAAAATTGTAGATAAATATTACATTATAATCCCTTAAACTATTAACAAATTATTTATATTTGCTATGCTTATACCATAAAATAAGGTGAACACATCAAGTGATCTCTCTAAAAGTTTTTTATTCGAGCATCGGTGTTTGTAGAGTATGTCTTGTTAATTAGTTAAGAAAATTTTAAATAAATATTACTTTATACTCAATCTAGATTATTAAAAAATAAAATAAAGTGTTAAAAATTAATTTTTTTCAAATAAAAATAAAATGAGTTTCATATTTAAAAAAAATTATAATATCTAAAGTATACTTATGTACATCAATTGATCATTTAGGTTAACATTTTTAAGAGAATAAATCAATCGTTAAATAGTAATAATAAAATCATGCAAGTAAAAATAGATGAATCAATCAAATAATTAAAATATAAAAATATAAACAAACACCAATAATGATAAAAAAATTATATAGAGAGGGGTATTATTGCAATTATCCCTAAATATACAGGGCAAAATTATAAATTTTTTCGGGTCGGGTTGGTTTTGATTTTTTTCACCCTAAACCCGAACCCGACCCGAACCCGAACCCGAATTTTTTTAAGAAAAATCTGACCCGATCGGATCGGGTCGGGTCAGGTGGGAACCCGTCGGATCGAGTTTAAATGCCCACCCCTACATACATGGTTATCAAAACCGGACCAGCCCGGTTCAACCGGTTGAACCGTGAACCGGTGGCCTGT